TCTTTAGGGAAATGTCTGCTTAAGCACTTTGCCCACATTTGCCTTGGGCTATTTATTTATTTTACAATTGAGTTGTGACATTATATATTTTTTTACATTAATCCTTTATCACATATATGATTTGTAAATGTTTTCTTCTGCTCTCCATGTTGCCTCGGTTGATTGTTTTCATTACTACTCATAATTTTCAAAGTTAGATGAAGTACCATTTTTTTTTTTAGTTTTGCTTTCATTGCATATGCTTTCATGTTATATACAAGAGATCATTGCCAAGACCAATGTTAAGAAGTTTTTCTTCTATGTGTTCTTCTAGGAGTTTTATAGTTTCAAATCTCACTTTTAAGTCTGTAATTCATTTTGACTTGATTTTGTGTGTGGTGTAAGATATAGGCTAATTTCATTCTTTTGCTTATGGGTATCTACTGTTCCCACACACCATTTGAAAAGACTGTCATTTCCCTTCACTGTCTTTTTCCGTACCCTTTCTGCATGTAGTGTCATGTTTGAGTTTGCTTATGAATATAGACAGCTCTCGCTCTATTATTTCATTTTTTCAAAATGTTAAGTGTCAACATTATGAAGAAGTTTAGAATGAGATGCTCCTTTTGGAAAGGATGAGACGGAGAAGATTCTCAAATGTCAGTTTAGATACTTGGATTCTAGTGTGCATGTAAGTGTAGTCTTCATTTGACTGGGGTCCTGAATATAAATAGAATATATGCTCTCTGCATATTTTTAATCTTTCTTTCTCTTTTCCCCATCAACCCCATATTATGGAAGTGTGATTTAGATGTGATCCTTGTTTGGAGGGAGCATACAATCTAATTGTAGTTGGGAGAATAAACAAAATAATTCCTTTTATTTTAAAGGAAAACAATTCCAAATGGTGATAAATAGAGTCTAGATTCAGGAGCAAGGCAGCTGATAAGCAACCTGGTGTTTGGTGTGTCATTTCAATCATTGCAGGGGTTTCAATGGGTTTCTCCTTATCTCCATATGAGGAGAATAACATGAACCAGAGGTAACCAAGTATGCGGAAACGTGGAGTTCAGAGGGGAGGAAGAAGATCAAATTACTAGAAGGAGGAAATAATCTATTAGAGTGAAGACTGCCGTGTGGCAGAAGGGTATGCTGTGACTGTACAGAAACTTAAATGTCAGGCTAACTTTTAAGTTTTAAATTTCATTTTTATTTAGAAAATCTCTTTTATTCCAATAAGGAAGCCTAATTTCCTGGAAATAACATGTCCTTTTATGACAATATAATCAATAACATTCATTGTATATATATATATATATATATCTTAAATATAAGCAATGTATTTATTTATAACAGGTCTAGATGAGTCTTGAATTGTAGAGATGAAGACAGATGTGAAAAAGAATAACTCATAACTCTAATACCCTTTTTCAAATGTCAGTGTAGAGATGTGTACATAAAATAGACAATTCTGGAAAAGGAACTGCTGCCTCGGAGGGGATTGGGGAGTTAAATAAGTTAGGCCTTAAATGATGAAAAGAGTTTACTCCTTTTCAAGTGGGAAGATAGAATTTCCAGAAAGAGATAGGGGGACAAAAAACAAGCCTAGTTAAAAATCAGTGGGAACTTAGGAAACAGCAAATGCTCTCTGATGCTAGTTAGGATGGATGAAAAAGGTGACAGGTGATAAGCTGCAAATGTGGGTTGGTGCCAAGTTGCAAAGGGTATGTGGACATGGAGGAATCTTCAGAGCTTGTTGGCAGGGAACTGGTGAGAGTAGATGGGAGGTGTGGAGTCAAGTAGTCCAGTCACTGTGTGCTGCTGAGACAGTGGCATTCAGGATAAAGAGGGAGACCTGACTCAGGAGGAGTTCTCCTTGAGTAATAAAATTGTCTCTAGCTCACAGAAGAGACAAAGAATACACTGGAGACAAAGAATAGATTAGACTAAGTCCCTGGCCACTTTGGGGCATTTTAAGAAGCAGATAAGGACTCCCTTGAAGAGAAGTGCTTTCATCTTTTTCTACTAAAAAGTCTCATTTCAAATTATTTGCTTGATTTTTTTTTAAAAGAGAATTTGGTGAGTCTCCCTGAAGCATGGAGTCTGAAAGCCATTATCACCTTGTGTTTTATATAAAACTTTCACACAGATTCTTGTTTTTATCTCTGACTAACCTTAGTAGTTTCCTTAAACTCTTCACATAGAAAAATCATTAGAGTTGCTTTTTCTTTCTCTTTCAGCTCCATGATTTGTCCAGGGAAGTATTTCCTTTAGAAAGATATTAGACACAATTTTAGATTTCCTTATCCCTTCTCACAAAATTATCATTGAACTTGATATTTTCCAGTGTCTGCTTTTATTTACACGGTATAACCTTGTGAAGAATTGAACCCAGGGAAACTTAACCACTGAGCCACATCTCAGCCCTATTTTATTTATTTATTTTAAGACAGGATCTCACTAAGTTGTTTAGGGCTTGGCTAAGTCTCTGAGACTGACTTTGAACTTGTGATCCTCCTAACTTAACTTCCGACTGGGATTATAGGCATGTTCCACCATGTCTGGCTTATAAACTGTATTTAAGGAGGGATTCTTTAGAGTTCTAAAGACCCATCTCACTGGTCAGTATTGAGTCCATAGGAGCTACCTTTAGCTATAGAATATGTAGGGGAAACTAGCTAAATCATCTATTTGTGAGAAAGTAAGAATAGGTATTTGGAGAAATTAAGAGGATAGGAGGATAAAATATGGTATTTTAACATAAGCATCTTAGAGAGCTAAAAACTCTTTGTTCAGACATGGTTTTACCTGAGTTACCTCCCTGAATCTGTTTGTTCTTCTAAAGTTAAAGTAGTCATTATTCTGTCCTAAACTCTCCCTAACATTTATGGATTAAATACAATTGTATTTATGAGGATTAAATACAATTGATGAGATCAGCACTTTGAAAATTAAATGATGCACAAATATAAACTATTCCCTTTTATAGCATTAAGTGAGTTGCTGAATATATACTCAAAAATACTACTGATGAAATATATCAGGTTTTACATTAATCTCATGATAACCTTATTTACCAATCAGAAGTAGCAATCATTAATGTCAACTTTTTTTTTTATAAAGGGCACATCTGTGTTATAAAACATTTTTGGAAGCACGATAATGCATTTGGTTCTTCTATAAACTCTATACAGTAAAAGTAAGCAAACTCTGCCCATTTTACTGATAGGAAAACTAAGTTAGTGAGATTAAATGAATGGTTCAAAGTCCCATCACTCTGAGTGGTTTGTTTAGCAACTATGTTATCTACAAATCTTTCACAATTTTAAAATCTGTGTTGCTACTCTAGTGTTTATAGGTCACACATCTTTTTGCCCATTTGACAAAGTCTAAATCTTTACATTTAGAGGAATAGGCTCTTAGTTGTTTATCCTTACTTTATCTACATGGCATTCCTTCTCATTTCTCCCTAATATGAAGCTTCCAACCTGCCCATCATTTCCTGCACAAATCCACAAGTCTACAAAATTCCTGCCCCACTAAACTCTCTTTCTGTTCTTTGCTCCCTCAACTTCTGCCCCAAATGTCAACTCAGGTCCCCAGTCTGTGTGAAGCATTTCCTGAGTACTTGAGGCCATGCAGATCTTCCATTTCCCTGAACTTCTGGAAAATAGAAATATATATAGAATGCATATATTACATTTAATTATAGAAGTAAATTATACACTGTATCAGGTTATTCCATATGTCTTAGCTTTTCCTCTACAAGTAGATTTGAAGGTCTTATATTTCTTAAGCAATTTCAGTAGCACAAGGACAATGGAAAGAACACGAAAATAACTAGTTCAAATCTAAATTGAGCCAACAATTAATCCTTAAGCAACTTCTAAGATGTATTCTGCACTTTTATTGCAAATGAGGAAACAAGTCCAAAGAGCCAAAGATCCTAATTCAAAAAGGACAGCTAGCAATGAAATCCTGATACACGGAATGTGTGGTCTAAGGCTTGATCCTCTAAAACTTTCAAATGAACATTTGATTGAAATACAAATACGGTGTTGTGTTGTGTTGTGTTGTGTGTGTGAGTGTGTATGCATCTATACATGTGTGTTTGTGTATAAGTGGTTTATTATCTCAAGTTGAGAGAACCCAGAAAAAAGAAGCACTCCTGGTTAATGGTAGCTTTTATGTTAATTTATGTGCATCTTATATTCAAAACTGAGAAGACCAAAACTGATGGGGATTTTATCAATAGAAAAGGCGGATAAGGACTTCTAACTGAGTCAGGATATTAAAGTGAACTGCAGAGATATTCACTTATGCATGCAGTCATGAGATATTTAATTCATATCTGAAATACCACCTACAGAACTTAACTATCTGATGGCTTTTTCCCTATATGTAATGCAAATCTTTTCAGAGTAGGGGTAGTGCTTTCTGCTTATGCTCATTTTGTAATCTCAAAAGTAACTGAAATAGTGCCAGCAATGTAATTCATAGCAATACCTTGTTAAAAGAAACATAGATTATCTGCTTTATATTTTTCTGGTGTGTGAATTTTTTTCTCTGGGTGGACATATGGAGTGCTGACTGTATTTTTTTTTTTTTTTTTGAGCAATGGGCAACTCAGATATTTAGAGAGCACAAGCCTATTTCCGTTTCCTTTTAGGGATGTGTTCATTGTGAGGAGCAGGGATCCTAGTAGTTTAGATTCAAGTCGGGTTCTTAGAGATCTTCTGATCTGACCCCTTTATTTTAGATGAGTTATAAAAGGTACCTGAAGTTTTATGGGCAGTTATTGGTGGTCAGAGATAAGAGGAGAATAAACCAGTTCTTCTTGTTCTTAGAATTTCTGTCTCACCTGTGTCTCTGTCCCTGTCTCTCTTGTTTTCTTTTTTTTTTTTCCCTACAAAATTTCTTTATTAAATCTTCAGTTTTCAAAAGAATCATTGAGAGTAGCAAGGCAGTTTGTTCAAAAGGTCACTGACCCTTTCTTGTCTGTCTTCTTTTTGTTACTTTAGCCCTCTTCAATCTAATTCCTGTGGGCCTGCGCGTGGTGGCCATCCAAGGGGTGAAAGCCAGCCTCTATGTGGCCATGAATGGCGAAGGCTATCTCTACAGCTCAGTAAGTACCTTGTAGTGTGTGTGTGAGTGTGTGTGTATGTGTGTGTGTGTGTGTGTGTGTGTGTGTGTGAGAGAGAGAGACAGAGAGAGAGAGAGAGAGAGAGAGAGAGAGAGAGAGAGAAAACTGGCATTGACAGGTAATGGACAAGCCATTATTCTAAAGAAGCAACTTGAAAGTTTAAGTTATTTTGTGTTTTTGAATCCAGTTTCCAGCGCTATTATAAAGATTTTATAATTCAGACTGCTAAAGATCGTGGTCTATGGCATGAAAAAGAGCCAGGTACTCTGTGTGTTGTAAGTCCTCTGTTTCTGGCTTCCACATCTAGAGGGTACCCTAATCTTTAGAAATTTACCTGTTTAATTCAAGGGGAAGATGTTTTTCTTTTTCTGTTACCCCTGTCTCCAGCACAAAAGATGGCTTAAGAAAGAAAATGCTTCAGTCTTCCTGGGTGTAATATTTGTCCTGTTGTGGAAAATTTTCAGGATAGGTGATGTTTTTGTTTGTGTTTAAATCTGGGTGGCACCTGAAAAGTCATATTTTCAAAACAACTTCTTAATTAAAAAGCCATGTGACTTTATGGAATGAGCGCTGGGATTAGAGGCAGGGATGTTTTGGTAGTGTTTGAATTTTAGGTAGTATCTAGATAGCCCTTTGGACAAATCACTTCCCCTTTTTGAATTTCTTTCTGGACTTTTCAAACAAGGGTGTTGGTCACCATCTTGGCTAATGCCCCTTTAGAATCTAAAACTGACAAAATTACATAGCAGCAAGGACCGCATTATGAATATTGACATATCTTAAAGTTCTTAATGCTATTCTGATGCTTGTCTCACTCTCAAAATAATCAGTTATACATTGAGAAGATATATCTGTACCTAATGTTGTACCACACGATTTCTGGCTTCTTCTATGGGAGTTGCCAGCTCATGAAAAAAGAAAAATAATTCCTTAAAAATCATGTTACAGGGACACAGCCACATTAATGTTTATAGCAACACAATTCACAATAGCTAAACTGTGGAACCAACCTAGATGCCTGAATGGATTAAAAAATGTGGCAGATATACACAATGGAGGTAAATGGATGGAGTTAGAGAAGATAATGCTAAGTGAAATTAGCCAATCCCAAATAAACAAATGACAAATGTTTTATTTGATATAAGGAGGCTGTTTCATAGTGGGATAGGAAGAAGGAGCATGAGAGGAATAGACGAACTCTAGATAGGGCAGAGGAGATGGAGGGGAGAGGAGGGGGCATGGGGTAATTAATGATGGTAGAATGTGAGGATCATTATTATTTAAAGTACAGGTATGAAGACATGAATTGATGTGAATATACTTTGTATACAACCAGAGATATGAAAAATTGTGCTCTCTATGTGTCATAAGAATTGTAATGCATTCTGCTGTTATATATAAATAAAAAATTCATGTAAAATATGGATAAAATACCAAAAATGATAAAACAACACTTCAAAAAGCAAATGTTTATTTGTAACCCAGTTTAAGAAATACAATATTCCTATCATTTTATTTGTAAACACCATTCTCCCATCTCATCCCATTTCCTGGCCCTCATCACCATCCCAAGAAACCATTATCATATTTTTTGTATCATTCCTTTGTTACTGAATATGTTTTTTAAAAATAATTACCAAATATGTTTTTATATGCAAGCAGCACATTGTTTACTTTTGGACAGTTGAGTACTGTATATAAATGGAATTGGCAAGTACAGCAACAACAAAAAATCATGGTTGAATATTTCTACCCTTACTTTCTATGATCAATAAATTACATAAGGTTATATAGGAAGTTCACATAATTCTACTTGACTGTAAACTAGTTATCAAACAGTTTTATTAGGCTCTTTCACTATTCAGTTAAATGCATCTCTGATAAATTTACTTGCTTATTAGTAATATATCTGTCATTCATATTAGAATTAAAGTCATTATAGTTTAAATGTTCCCAACAAAAAGAAATGACAAATATCTGTGATGAAGATGTGCCAACTACCCTGAATTGATCATTTCACATTGTGATTGTGAATTAAAATGTCACACTGTACTCCATAAATATGTCAAATTGCCATATGTTGATTAAAAATAAAACTGTATTTAAAACAATAATTAAAATTACAGTTTTACTCCTGAGCATACTCAGATCTAAGTACACATTTATATACTAAAGAAGCACTTACACATTTTTCAGCAGTTACTGCTCAGAATAATATCTAAAGATAAAAACATTTTCAGTAAAATAACAAGCACTCAATTTTAGTGTGTCATAGTTTGAACAATCCTTTGTGTCTAGTTATTGTGAATTCATTTTAAAACCTAAAATCAAAATAAGAAAAAGAAAGATAACAAATTGTTTTGGATAATTACAGAGTTAAGCTATTTAAGGTAAAATTTCAAAAGCAATAAAAGCTAAAACACAGAGATAGTATTAATATAGTATTAATTTAATTAAATAGAATTAATTAATTAGTATAGTTTTAATTTCAGGACTCAATCAGTCATTAAATAAGCAGCTGAATGTGGTATATATTGTAATATAATAATATAACCTTTATACATAAAGGTTACATATATATATATTTGTATATATTTTATTTGCTATTACACATGTTATATTGAAAAGGTCATAATTCAGAAAATAATTACACAAAAACTGTAGAGTTCAAATATTTGTACTAGAGTTAATTTCCAAATGTCCAGGAAGAAGAAAATTTCAGGAAGTCTGCTGTCACAGTATTGTAGGCAGGAGACTGTGTCCTTCTGTGTGTGTATGTGTGTGTGTATGTTTGCACACACATGTGCAGAATGGTGGGGCAGTGAGGGGAGTGGTTTTATCCTTTTCAGCTTTTTAAAGAGATGCATTTTTTTTCATCCCTCAACTATAGAACTGCAGTTAAGACACAGGGACTTGAAGCCCATAGAGGGAGAGATTAAAAACAAAACAAAACAAAACAAAAACCTTTTGAGAATTAGACTGTAGGAGTGTCTTTGCAATGTGGCAAACACCTTTGTAAAGTCAATAATCACTTATTGAGTTACAAGCTTTGGGTGCCTAGATTTTTTGGGGCCTCCTCTCTACTTAAACTAGCTTCATAACCAAGAATCATGATGCTTCCCCCCTGTTATGGATCTGTGATGATACTAGGAATAATTTTTAAGTATAACATCACTGACATCGATCATCAGGGTCTCTGCTTTAAAAAATGATTGTCTTTATGGCTAGGACTAATAAGAGTAAATGCTGTTTTTTAACTTTAAACAAGGGATGAAGCTCTGAAGATTCTGTAATAGGATTTAAGAAGGTCAATATTGGAGGATCAGGCCTCATCACACCTTATACTGCTGCTGCTCCTCTGGCTGGTGTGTCTCAGCAGGAGGGTAGGGCCAGGGCCTTGTGTAGAGTTAAAAAATCTGCTGTTAATCTCATCTTTCCTGAGGTGTGTTTGGTATGCATTAAGGCTCAAGGTCACTTGAAAATCAATTTCCTATGTCCTGTGAAAGGCATAGCTGCATACACCAATATGGAACATAAACTGGGTATGTGGAAGGAGGGGCAGTAACTGGGCAAACTGAAGAAAGAAGCTGAGAGTTCAAGAGGAATTCACAAATGGTACTGTTTACCTAGTGTTATTTGTCTGGTTCATAGAAATTAATTTCCTTGTTACTTTTGGTTTTCTCACTGTTTGTTAGCTTTTCATTGCTCTTACCAAAATACTTGACAAGACCAATTTAGAGGAAGAAAATTTTATTTTAGACTCACAATTTCAGAGGTTAAGTCCATAGTCAGACAATTCCATTGCTTTTGGGCCTGAGGTGAGACAGAACATCATGGTGGATAGGCATGGCAGAGAAATGCCCATGAGTTTATGGGAGCAGAAAGCAGAGACAGAAAGAAAGATATACATAGGGAGAAAGGTGCACATGCGCCAGGTACAAATATAGTCCAAGATCATATCCCCAGCAGTCTGCCTCCTCCAGCCACATACCCCCTGAAATCACTAGCCAGAATCCATTAGCTATCAATGGATTAATCCAGCAAATGAATTAATCCATAATGAGGTAAGAGGCCAAATCATTGCAAGAGCTTTGAGGGGGATATTTCAGATCAAAACCATGACACCCTCTTTCACCAAACTATAGGAGAATAGAGGAGAGGTAAAAATGAACTGATTGGTAGCACAGTACTAGAGTTTTAAGATTCATTTGAAAATTTGTATTGTAATAGGTTGCTGATGTGTCCTGGATTTGTTTTTACCATTGTAGCTTGTATTTTTTCATCTACTTGTGCTTCTCTTCTTTTTTCTATTTTCTGTTGAATTATTAAAGTTTCTTTCCTCTTTAAAAAATTATTTGGCTAGGTTATAAACTTAGGCTTTATTTCTATTTCTTTAGTGATTGCCTTTATTTTTTTTAAACATACATTCATAATTACATAGATTACTAAATAACTTTTGTGTTTCTGTCTTCCAAATAGCTCATGGGCCCTAGGATATTTTATTGACTATTAAACACTACCACTCTTTTAGCTACTTTGATGAATTGTTCTCTAAAATAAATGTTATTTTATAGTTAGTCATTAAATCGTACCAATTTTTATAATAATGTGTGTAGTTTTTGCTTGTATGTGTATCTATTTTGGTCTTCTGAATTTACCTTCCCTTTAAGCCATTATCTCTATTGGTTTTTTTTTTTTGAGGGTCTGTGGGTAGTTAATTCACTTCATCTTGATATCCATGCAAATGTCTTCCTTTCACTTTTACACTTGAATTGCAATTCAAACAGTAATAAGATAAAATCCCATTGGCTTCTGGCATCAATTGTTGATGATGGAAAGTTTGCTGTAAGTTTAATATTCTTTGTCGGTAACCTTAATAGAAACTTAAAAAAAAAAATGTTTTGTCTTTCCACCTCCTGCTCTGCAAATTCACTATAATGTGTAGTTGTGAATCTATCTTTTCCTATTAGGAATTGGAATGG